GGGAGTTCTAGTCCCGTCTTAGGCATGAAAACCGTCTGGGTGACTTTGAGCCAATCAATCTCTTAGCCAAACCCACCTCACAGGACTGTTGTTGGGGGGGGGGAAAGAGGAGGAGGAGAAAGCATTCTTCATTTCTGGCCACCATGAGTTACTTATAAAATAATAAAGGTGGGGCAAAAATTTAATGAATAATAAAATAAATAACACTTATATGTCCATGGAGTTGCTTTGGCCACCATATGGAAGGCATTATCAAGGTCTTCCTCCTATACTGCATTTTGTCTTCTCAAAGATTCCATACTGCTGATACTCCCTGTAGGTCTCTTCTAGGTCTCTCCTCCAATTACCAACCAGATCTGGCCCTGCTTAGCTTCCCAACCTTGACTATGTGCTGCCACCTAGCAGACCTAATGCAATCAGCACCTACCTATGAAAGTGTTTTATTATCTTTCAGCTGCAAATTTTAGGGTAAATTTTGAAGGGATCTTGGAGACAGAAACCTGGCCTTGCAACCCTGGAATATGACTTTCGTCATTCAGCCTTTCACAGCTAATATATAGATACAAATATATACATTTAATAAAATAATTACAAGTAAATGAACTCATGTGAGTTGGAGAAAAAGAGGAGTAACAAGGGGAAAAAAAGACACAAGCCCAATGTTAGGGTGTAATTTTGTGTCTATTTTAATCCCGGGTTCTGAATGCTATTAAAAAGCACCAGAATCAATCCAGTTTTCCTTTGCATAAATGAGACAAACAACAGAACACACAATCAACATTCACACAAAATACACAAACTACGCTGGGGGGCGGGGTAATCCAACATGTGCATTCATCCCATGGGGAAAAGGACTTTCTTTTTAACCCAGTTCCTTTCATGTTGAGCCAGTTTGGTGTAGTGGTTAAGGCACCAGGTTCGAAACAGGGAAACAGCGAGTTCGAGTCCTGCCTTAGGTTCGAAAGCTGGCTGGATGACTTTGGACCGATCAACAGGAAATGGTGAGCACTTCTAGTCCCATGTGAGGCATGGAAGTAGGCTGGGTAACTTTGGACCAATAAAAAGGAGAACGTGAGTTCTAGTCCTGTCTTAGGCATGGAAACTGGCTGGGTGACTTTGGGCCAATCACCACGGTGAGTTCTAGTCCCGCCATAGGTATAAAAGCCGTGTGGGTGACTTTGGGCCAATCACCAGGAGATGGGGAATTCTAGTCCTGCTTTAGGAATGAAAATGACTGGGTGACTTTGGGCCAATCACCAGCAGACGGGGAGTTCTAGTCCCACCTTAGGTATAAAAGCTGGCTGGGTGACTTTGGGCCAATCACCAGGAGACGGGGAGTTTTAATCCCGCCTTAGGCATGAAAGCTGGCTGGGTGACTTTGAGCCAGTTCCCCCCTCTCAACCCAGCCCAGCCCACCTCACAGGGTTGTTGTTGTGAGGAAAACAGGAAGAGAAAGGTGTATGGGATATGTTGGCCAGGTTGTCTTTGGAGCAAAGGTATTATAACCCAGGAAAAGAATAACGTCAGGAATAACCCAGGAAAAGAATAACGTCAGGAATTAAGTCATGCTTGTTCTGCAAAGTCGGTCTGAGTTGATTCTTTTGCAGAAAAACAGAGGGGGAAAAAAACAGGCCAAGCTCAGGTTGCACCTTGTCTGCAGTCACCTGCCAGACATACGACCCACCTGCTCCCCACCCAAACAAGCCCATGTGTCTTGGATTCAAGTCGCGACACGTTTTCTGTCATCTGCTTCTGAACTCTGGGACGACAATGGTCACCATTTCTGGATCACCGAAATCCCACAGGTGTAGCTTACAGTTATCACAGCCAGGATCAGGAGCGGCACCGCCCATCACCTTCCCGTCCCTTGCAAAACCATCATCCTGAGCCCTTTGGTGTGAGAGAACACTAAGTTTTCCCCATTCCTTTTTTCAATTCCTATTCATCCTGGTTTATGGTCCCTTTTGGAGTGGATGGTCAAAAACTGTCCCATCAAACCTGGATGGTTTGATTTTGTTAACTTTACGGTTTAACAGAGTCAGAAGGGATCCTATAGGTCATCTAGTCCAACCCCCAACCCCTTAAGCTTGTTTCGGCCTTCTTTGGTTTTACCTGGATTCCCTCCTCCCCGCCCCCCAATTAGAAGGACTTAAATCTAAACGGGGCTTCCCTGCATTTGCCTTGAAAAGGCCCCCAAAGTTATTAATTTTATTGCATTTACAGGCCTCCCGCCACCAGCTGCACTTGCTGAACTCACGAAAGCGACCGCGGAAGCAAAGTTTCTAGTCCTCAGGACCCTTTGCTCTAGTCAGAAAAAAAACAAAAACCAGGATTTTCCCGACAGGCTGGGACAGAGAAGCGATGGCAAGCCCTCCAAGTTGCGGGGGAAGGCGGGCACCAACTTGGCACATCCCTACCCAAGCCAGGTGGAGGGTCGGAGCACACCGATCGTGAGAATGGAGCCGCCGACCCGTGTTGCGATCGGGACTCGGGGCCGGGCGAGCGAGCGAGCGAGCGAGGCGCGCGCGGATCCACTCGATCCCCCGGCCGGGATCCACTCGACCCCCGGCATAATGCGGGGAGTGGATAAGGCCGGGGATCGAGTGGATCCTCCCCGCCCCCTTCCTTCCTTCGTTCCTCGCTCGCTCGCTCGCCCGGCCCCACGTCCCGATCGCCCCGCCCGGCCCACGTGAGAACTGCGGCCCGCCCGGAGCTGCGAGGGCGGAGGCGGCAGCGCCTTTTCCATCCGGGCTGGGGTTGGGGGGGGACGGACCCACCTTCGGGGCCGGCCGACTAGCCGGCGGCTGGGCGCCCGCGGAGATTGATTGATGATGACCGTCCGGCCGAGCAACGCAAGCCCGATCCTCTCCGCCAAAGCCGGGAGGCGGTGGCGGCGGCGGCGGCGCCGGCAGGGCCGGGCGGAGCGAGAGAGGCGTCCCCCGCGGGCGGCTGGCCAAGTCCCGGCCCCCTTTCGCAAGTCCCCTCCCTTCGGTCAAACTTTTCCTCGCAGCGAAGCAGCCGCCGCCGCCGCCGCCGTCGCTGCAGCCGGGAGGGCGCCATTTTTTTCGCCCAGGCCGGTCCGCGCCCGTCCCGACGAAGCCGCCCCCCCGCCCCCCCCAAAAAGAAGCCGGTCTGGTGGGGGATCCCGGGGAAGCGGCCCCGTCGGCAACCGAGGGGCCCGCGGGCGCCACTCAATCACCCCAGGCTTGGGGGCAGGCCGTGGGGAGGGGGGGGATTTCCCAGCCGTCTCGGTTTGGGAATCTCCAGCGGTGCCCCATTTGGCGTCTCTCTCTCCAGCTCCGACGGGAGTTTCCTTTCCCCGGGGGCAACGCAAGGCCATCCAAACCCCCCGGGGATCCAAGCCGGGGCGAGGAATAGCCCGGCCGGAGCGCGTGGCTTTGGGAAGTCCGTGCTCGCTTGCAAGAGGGGCCGGGGTGCAGCCACCCCAACCCCCCCCCCTTTCTCCTCCTCCTCTCCTTCCCCCTATCCGGCTTTGGGGCTGGAAAATAAAAGAGGGGGGGTGTGGAGAGTCTTGCAATATGCACGACGACCAGCCGCCCCCGCCCGGCTCTGCAAAGCGGGAGAGGAAACACCCCCCCGCCGCCACTTTTTACTCCCCCTCCCGATGCTCCACTAGGTCTTCCGCCCCCTCGGGGGTGGGGTGGGGGGGGAATAAAAAGGAGCGGGGGGGGGGAAAGACACCCGGCGGGCTTCCCCGTTTGCAAGTCCGCCGCCTGTCAGCCTCGTAGGCCCGGCCCGTGGGGACACACCCACCCCGCTCCGGCCCGCCGACAGCCAGCCAGCCAGCCAGCCAAGGCCGGGCGGACGGAGGGACAGACGGGGCAGGAGTTTGCGCGGGCCGCGCTCTGGCTTGGCTTCCCGTTTACCTTTTGCAAAAGCTGGACTTTGCTTCGGGCGCAGCCGCTGCCCCCGGCGGGACGACTCCGGCCGCCGCCGCCGTCCTCGGAGCTCCTACGCCGGGCTCTCCTCCTCCGGAGCGACGCCGGATCTTCTGCTGCTGCTGCTGGTTCTTCTTCCACCAGCACCGTGTAAACGGCGTTGCCGGGCGGGGCGGGCGAAGCGGAGGAGGCGAGCGGCTTGCAAGCGGCCGCTACCCCGCAGCACAAACCGGGGGCGGGGGCGGCGACGACGACGGTGGTCGGGGGGCTGCCGCCGACGCTGTCAGGGCAGCTGGGGGCCGCCACCACCGCCGCCGCCGCTGACGTCAAGCCCGGCGGCGGAGAGCAAAGCCGGCCGCCCGGGGAAGCGGCGCGTTTGAAAAGCCGCGGCTTGGGGGCTTCCATGCTTGAGGGGCCGGCCGGCTGGCTGGCTGGCTGGCTGGCGGGGCGCCGAGCCAACACCCCCCCCCCCGCCCTCCCCGCCCCTGGCCCGGAAAGGGGCAGATCGGTGCACGGTGAAGCCCCGCACGCCGCCGCCGCCGCCGCCGCCGCGAGTTTCCCTCCAGCCAGCGGCGCTCCCCCGCCGGGCCACGCCCCCTCCTGGACTGCCCCGCCCCCTCGGAGCTGGAGCTGGAGCGAGCGGCTGTCGGGTTGCTACCAAAAAAAAAAAAAAAAAAAAAGTGAAAATCGTCTCCGCTCCTCCTGCGGCCGCAACGCCATTGGCTGGCGCGCTGTGTCAACATTCCACAATGGAACGTTGCCCGGAGCCGGCTCGCGCGCTCATTGGTCGGGACGACGTTGCCAATTGTATCAAGCGAGGGAAAGGAGGAGGAGGAGGAAGAAGGCGCGGGGGGAGTCGTCGCGATCTCTTCCCAGTTGCTGCTGCCGCTGTAGCCGCTGCTTGCTTCGTTTTTGCGGCGATCTCTCCCGCGCTTGGAAAGCGGGATCGCCGTCCGGCTCCGCCTTGGCTTAGTCGCTTCTTGAAGCCGGAGTGTGGAAGGAAAACCGGCCTCGGGTTTTTGTTTTTCCCCTCTCCCCGGTCTTGTTGCGTCCGCTATATACCTTCCGCCATGGCGGGCGGGGAGTCGACGGCCGCCGGGCGGAGACTTTGCAAACCACGGGGGGAGGCGAGGCAGGAATCCGAGCGCGCCGAAGAACCAGAAGGTGCGGCTCCTCGTTGGAAACGAACCCCTAAGTAGGGGCGTTGGAAACCCCAAAGCCGGTGACTGCAAGGCGAATTTTGCATTGTTGTTTTTTTTCCCCCTTGCATTTTCACGCGCCTTTTGCAGAGGATCGCGAAGAAACCCGACTTTTACTTCCCTCCCGAGTTTAGGTTGTCATTTTTCCCCGCCCCCTCAAGGCCCTGCACGTAGAAAGCGAGCTCACATCTAGCAGCTGGAGGAGCTGGCTTTCTTTTTTCTGGAAAAAGAAAAAGTACCCCGCCCTCATCGTTTTCCTAAAGGCGGGGGGGGGCGGGGCTCTTCACATTTGATATCTTTAAGACTTGTTGTACTTCAACTCCCAGAATTTCCTCCTCTGGTCATGTTAGCTCAGGAATTCTGGGAGTTGAAGTCCACAAGTCTTAA